TGCAAGAATATATTATATTCAGATTGCAATATTGCAACCTGAAAATCATTTACTGAGATTTATAGAACTCTTTTGGGAAGCTTTCCTAATTTTACATTGATTGGGTGTGTATATGCTTAAAATAAAAGAAATTACAAGCATAAATGAATGCATTAGAACAAACATAGACATATTTTACAAATGGAATAGACAGTACTTTGTTTTTTAGAGAGTCTTCCAGTATTGAGGTGCAGCAATAAGATAATCAAATGTAAAATAACCCTGTAAACAGTATAGTCAACATTTGAAGTGGATCAAAACCACCACAAAAATCAAAGTTGTCCTAACTTGTCCTAACTATTCAACACAACTCGTATTTTGATCCACTTTTAATGATGACTACTGTCTGTATTATATAAATGAATAAAATTAGTCTATGTTGAAGCAACAAATTTGATCTTTCTCATGTACAAATGGTTTAAACTATAATCCTAACTCAACATTTCAGATACTGCGATGCAACTATTGCAGATTCCCACATTGAGCGTATATATATTGCATCCTTATTGTAGGGTAAACAAATGTTATAAGATTTATAAAGTAAAAAAGGAAACACTTTACAATAAAGTCTCATTAGTTAATGTTAGATAATGCATTAAATCAGCAGTGAGATTAAGCCAGATTTATTATACTAAAATTTGTTATTTTATTAGTTCTTTTAGGAGTTCAACTTTGATTTGAGTTATTAACTAGGAAATTAACATCAGCTAATATAAAAAAATGGTTTTATAGTTTTCATTGTTAGTCTTTAGTTACATTAACTTATGCTTACAAATGCATTATAGTCTTAATGATTTTCAGTGAATATTTTGTGCATGCTTGGCCAGATTATCATGAAAATAATAATGTTTTGATTAATTTGCTGCTGTGATGAACAAACACTGCCAACTCAAGTCTAAATACTCTTAAAATACACTCTATACATTTAAATAATAAATAATTGTGTATTTTGGGGTGATGTTATAATCACAATATATTGTAGAACAAAAATGTGATTTCCTTTCGGAGCAAAACTTCATCCTGAAAGCAACATTTTTTATTTACATTTTAATGCCATATATATATATATATATATATATTGTATATAACATACAAATTGTATGGCAACTCTTATACTAAGAATTCGATATACAAGTTACAATTATAACAGCTTCTTAATAATCATGCATTATATAAAACAAAACAAATAACAACGCCGATAAAAACAAGGCAAGAAGATCTTTCAATGTGATCAATGGTTAATTTAAAAATTCCCCTCAAAATATTTCCTGAATAACATTTTTTATATCTTTTAAAAATATTACTGCTGGGGTAAGATAAGCACGATTAATCACATAAAAAAAAAATAGAGCGTGTTTTGACACAAGATACAGTATGTGTGTGTGTTATTTATATTTATTAAGTACAAGTAATATACAGACACATAGATAACAACAAAACTATTTTGTTACATAGATATTTACATTTATGTTTAATTAGTATCATATGCAAATTTTATAGCAAAATATAAATAAACATTTTCTCAAATATGTACATAAGAGTATTTATATAATTTAATACAATACCTTTTATTTTTGGATGCACCACTAAAAATATACATTCTTTAAAATATTTTATAGCCAAAATATTCTTACTCAAGTTACAAATAGGCTTAAGCTCTTCCCCTTTAATTAAATATGAGTGTGTACGTCTGGAGTGAAATCAAGAAGCTTGTAGAAACTCAAAAATCAGCACGTTTAGCATTTAATAAAGAACTCAAACATGAGGAGGGCTGCATGATGTTAGTAAAATCTCACATTGCGATATTTAGTTTCACTGTGATACGAGTATAACTTCACCAGATGACCCTGAATAGCTCTATTTAGAAAGACCTCCATAATTTAGTTCGAATGGGGTGATCTGAGAAAAATATAATAAATCACAATCACATATAAATACAACAGAACAAAAATAAAAAGAGCCTTATTGGTTATTTCTGTGGAGAATAACTATATACAAGTATAAAAATGTAACAATTAAATGTAAAAAAACATGCTTATCATTGCATAAATAATTGTATACAAAAAAATCTATATATTTTACCATAAATACGACAGACAGAAGATAGATGTGAAGTAAACAGTGTTTATGGTTATTTCTGTAAAGGAGTCTAACTGTAAATATATTCATTAATTTTCTCTTGGCTTAGTTCCTTTATTCATCATTCATCTTTATTAGTTTATAAATGTAAACTGTTTTTATTGTTAAGATATTTTGCATATAGTTAGCTTTATTTATTTATTATTATTATTATTATATATTTTTAAATGAAAATTGTGATTTTATTATTTAGACATTTTGGATAAAAATAATATTTTTTCCATTTATTTTTAATACAAAATTAGATTTTATTCTGATATTTTGCAGAATAAAAATGTACCTTTAAAATAAATATTTTAAAAAATATACTACTTGTAAATTGTGTTTTTATTATTCAGATATTTTGCATAATAATTAGATTTATTCAATGTTTTATTTTATTTATTTTAAATTAAAATTGCAATTTTATTATTTAGACCTCTTGGATATTTAAATTTATTTTTATTTAAAGTAAAAATTGTATTTTATTATTCTGATTTTTGGCAAAAATATATAATTTAAAAAGTAGATAGATATAATAAAAGTGATATAAATAGTTCTCATTAATTTTCTTTTCAGCATAGCCCCTTAGTTCAACAGAAGTGGCCACAGCGGAATGAACCCCCAAATTAGCAAGCATGTTTTTACAACGGATTCCCTTCCAGCTGCAACCCAGTATTAGGAAACATCAATACACACTCTAAATACAAACATGTAACAATCATATATAATCAACATAAATAATATTATCCAATAATATCTTTATATTTTAATAATCTAAGGCAACGGCGTGACTATTAGCGGATACACACATTACGATATGCTCAAACGATATACTGTGCAGCGATAAACGTGAGCATTAAGAGCGTCCCATTAAGAGATTTCATTCAACTGCTGCTTAATGACTTCCAAATGCAATCACAGGACAAACTCAAAGTTCCCGAGCAGTAAATTGCCTTGGTGAAAATCTCTCTCACATGCACACGACATCACTGCAGGCTCCGGTAATCAAATTCTGCTGCCACATGATCTAAGCAGAGTGCACATATACATAGGAGAACACTGAACATACAAGCCACATACAGACAACCGTGTGGATTTTATGCCTGACATAACAGACTAATGGTCTGAGAAATGATGATCATATGATCTGCTAATGACTGTGTTCACCACAACACCACAGAGACCCTCAGGATGATGCTGATGGCTTCCAGCAAATGGAAATTACTGGGAATTAACAGGAAAAAACAACTGGAGAGCTACTTTACAGAGTCAGAGTGTGTGTGTGTGTGTGTGTGTGTGTGTGCTGCTGAATCAGGAATATTTCACTATTACACAAACAGTACAGTCTTATTATATTATCTTATGTTACTACACTCTAAAAACTACATAAATAAGCAGTTTTCTGTATTTTGTGTTTTCTGTTTTTATTTTTCCCCATTTAGTTATACTTTAAAATTGCATTATGGCATCTTGATCTTTCTTCCAACAACTTCTAACCTCCAAAAGTCTGAAAAAGTGACTTTTATGAACATTTTTATAAGCTTAAAGTGATGTTAAAGTGGATTGGTGTTGTATATTATGCTACCTTGTAATATTTTGCAGCACATTTACTGTTATTTTACACAGTTATTCCTTTAGATATTATCTCTTATACATTAATTTCAATCACTAACATGTCAATAAGTCTCTTTGTTAACCTGTGGGATTGCATTTTCACCACCAAAAGTAGACAGACCAGAGATTAACATCCAACAATGCCTATCACCACCGCGAATAAACAACACACTTGTGTATCACAATATACAGACAGTATCAACAGATATATTTAAGGCGTATACAGCCGATTTAAAGGATAGGTCAACTAAATATTACCCTTTACTCACTATTTACTCTCCCTCCAAACCTTTGAGTTTCTACCTTCTATTAAACACAAATGAAGATATTTTGAAGAACGCTGAAAACCGGTAACCATTGACTTCCATTGTAGGACACACAAATACAATAGATGTCAATGGTTACAGGTTTCTAAATATCTGATCAAAAAAAGAAAGAAATTTGTGATCCTAAAGGTTTGAAACAAGGATGAGTAAATAAATGACAGAGTTTTCATTTTTCACATCACTTGGTTGTAAACTGAATATTTATTATGCACAAATCTCAACCAGTTTGATGACAAACATAATAATAAAAAAAAAGATACTATTTAATAGTGTGGCTATTTCATAGAAAAAAACAGTGTATACAGTGAAATAACCGGATAAACAAGTGCAATAAACTGTATTTTTCTCAAATTATCTTGCATTTGGTCTTATAAATACGTATTTACAGTATAGTGTACACTACTGTACACAGTACTGATGTTACTTTTGAACTTACAGAAAGCTAATGAAGTATTTTGTGAAATAAAAATGTTATTTTTTATAAAACAAAATAAATCCGCGTAGATGGCAGTGGTCACGGGACCCATGAGCTCATATGAACGGACTAGTGTGTGTTTACACCACCTAAACACACACATTTCCACAAAAAAAACAACACGTTTAATAAACACATGAGTCTGACAGACTTCAGCATCGAAAAGCTGAGCAGATAACACACATTATACATTTAAACGAGCCCTGCTGATCGTAAATAAACCCCATTGATGAGGCCCGAGGCTAAAGGCTAATGCTAAAGGCGCAATAAAACACCGACATAAAACAGCAAAACAACCGATAAAACCGTAAAACCTGCCAAAATAAAAGTCGACAATAAAAACATAATCAAGAAAACATCCACTGTGATAAAACAATAATGACTTATCGCTTTTAAAGCCGTGTAAATAAACCCCTCAGCTTTACCTGGAACACTGGTGTACGGTACCGGAGGATCCGCCGACTCCGCACGGGCTTTATTTGAATCCCGGGACCCGGATACTCTGGAAAATCGGTGTTAAATCATGAGAAACGGCGGTTATCAGTGTGAAATGGTCCGGTTTGAGTCCCGCGAGGCCTCGAGCTGAAGGTGCCGATGAAGCCGCCTCAAGAGTCTTTGTGTTCGGGCGCTGAGCGAACAATAGACGCGCGCACGCACACACACACACAGGCCAGAGTCTCTGAAGGAAGATAGATAAAGCTGGCTAGCTCGCTCTCTCCCTCGATCTCTCTCTCTCTCTCTCTCTCTCTCTCTCTCTCTCTCTCTCTCTCTCTCTCTCTCTCTCTATGTCTCTCCCCCTCTCTCAATTCAAATTTGCTTTATTGGCAAAAGCATCTGCAATGTTTACATTAAAAAGATAATAAAAAAACAATGAAGTAGTGAAAATAATAATAATAAAATAATTAATCAAATCAAAATAAAATACTCTCTCTCTCTCTCTCTCTCTTACTCTATTTCAATTCAGTTTAATAATGGCTTTATTGGTATGACAAATGCTACAGATGTGCTGCCAAAGCATTTATAAAGTTTACTTAAAAAGGACATATTCATTATAAAACGTATTAAACACAGTAAATAGTATAGTAGTAAAATAATAACCTTTAATCAGAATAAACAGCAATAATAAAGAATAAAGATCAGTACATTTAAAATTATTCATTTATAATCATGTAGAAGTGTGCATGAGTTTGCAAGTGCATCTCTAATATCTCTTTTACTCTTCCTTTGTGCTATATATTTGTTTCTTTTAAATAAAAATAAAAGTCAATTGTGTTTTTGTTATTCAGACATTTTACATAATTAGTTTATTACTATGTATTAATATATTTTATTTTTAATATGATATTCAGATTTTTAGCAAAAAAAAGTAATGTTTTTTATTATTAAAAAATGTAAATTGTGTTTTTTTCAGATATTTTGTATAAATTAATTAATTTATTATTATTGTTTTATTTTTTATGGAAATTGTGATTTTATTATTCTTTTTGGAAAATAATTTAATTTAAATATTTTGCATGAAATGTCAATTTAAGTATTTTTTAATTATTTAAAAAATGTAAATTGTGTTTTTATTGTTCTGATAATTTGCATATAGTTAGCTTTATTTATTTATTATTATTATAAATTTTTTATGGAAATTGTGATTTCATTATTTAGACATTTTGAATAATAATTAGATTTTTTTCATTTATTTTAAGACAAAATGTGGTTTTATTCTGATTATTGCAGAAAAAATGTACATTTAAAATGATTCATTAGATTTATTTATTGTTTTATTTAATTTATTATAAATTAAAATTGTGATTTTATTATTTAGACATATTGGATAATTAAATTTATTTTTATTTAAAGTAAAAATGGTAATTTTATTATTCTGATATTTGGCATAAAATATAATTTTAAAAAGTAGATAGATATAATAAAAGTGATATAAATAGTTCTTATTCATTTTCTTTTAGACTTAGTCCCGTTATTAAACAGGAGTCGCCACAGCGGAATGAACTGCCAACTCATCCAGCATATGTTTTGCACAGTGGATGCCCTCCTAGCTGCAACCCAGTACTGGGAAACACCCATTCACACACACACACTCATACACTACTATCAGTTCCCCGATAGCGCATGTGTTTGGACTGTGGGGGAAACCGAAACATGCAAACTCCACACAGAAACACCAACTGACCCAGCCAGGACTCGAACCAGTGACCTTCTTGCTGTGAGGCGATTTTATAGAACATATTATTTGAATAATGGTTTAAATATAATGGTGTCTATTCCATTAAGCCTGTACAATCCTATAATAATAATTGTTGGATTTGTTTATTTGCTTCTCTAATTTCTTGCTGTGTTCAATACAGCATGTAAACACAATCCTGCCAATGAAGTGCTTTAAATGTATATGATGTAGTAAAAGGCAGATATTGATCTATATTCCCACAATAACGGTTATGCAGCAGACAAATGTTCATATGCATCTGAATCTCCAGCTCAGCTCGATGCACTCCACTTTATTTGCATGACAAATAATTACAGAAAAGCGTCTCTGGTTATGTCAGCGAGATGATGTGAGATGGACTCTGTCTGTCTGTCTGTCTGTCTGCGTTATCTGTTTGCTCAGCACTTTTCACTGCTCTCTCTCTCTCTGTCTCTCTCTCTCTCTCTCTCTCTCTCTGTCTGTCATCATATATCCAGCAATAACGAAATAAATCAGGACTTACAAATGCGCACATCAGCTCTGTAATATAAGTAGCCGAGAGCAGCTCACATTACCATCAACTCACAGGATTTGATGCAGAATTCAGATGCGTGCTGTTTATACATCAGAATAAAATGATATAAATATTAAAGAGCCCATATTATGGGTTTTTGAAAATGCCCTTCCATGTAGTGTGTAACACAGCTCTGAGTGAAGTGAAGTATCCAGCTAAGGCTTACAGTGTTTAAAACTGTTGATTCATAAAAGAGTCGACTCATAGAGCTTCAAACGAGTCGCCTTGATAACGAATCATTAGGTTTTTCGCCATGACGTGTCAACGAAACCAAGTTATACACACGCACACGCGTTGTCGTCCGGAGGAGGGTTATGTGTGTGTGTTTGTGTGTGTGTTTGTGTATGTGTGTGTGTGTGTGTGTGCGCGCGTTGTCGTCCGGAGGAGGGTTACATGTGCGTGTGTGTGTGCGTTGTCGTCCAGAGGAGGGTTATGTGTGTGTGTGTGTGTGTGTGTGTGTGTCTGTGAAAAGAGCAGAGTGTGACAAGCTAGGAGATCTCCTCGCCAGTTGTTGGAGTTTTTGCTCAATAAAATAATGTCAAGTCCATCGTCTATATTTACATTCACCCACAGGCAGCCAAACTCCACGTCTTACACTATGAAGCGTGTATGAACTGTGACTGCTTCTATATTGTTGATTAGCTGCTGGGCATTTCACTCTGTCTGTCGCATAAGGCAGTCAGTGTCGACCAATCGCAACAGACTGTCATCGGTCCAATCAGCACAGATTAGCTTCGTGCTAAGGGTTTGGGAACAAATGAATCAGTGGGCGATTCATACGGGAGTCGCTGGGATAATGAGGAAAATAAATGCAGATTATGAGACCATGAAGTGTTTTTTGACCTTGCATGCATATTAGACTGTTGTTGGAGACCCTTACATCCAAAATATGACTCTATTTCATGTATAATAGGGGCTCTTTAAATAAAAATTAAATTAAAGAGCTATGTAGTCGGGGGCTAATATCCCTGATAGGGTCTTCCAAGTTATCCAGTTAAACTCTGCTGTTATTTCCGGCTGGATTTTGCCTACCCAAATTTAACAGCTTCCCAAATCCACATGCAGAGGTGGAAATGCAAAAATTTGGAATCATTTTAAAGAAAACCCTTTGAATTTTTATAAAACACTTTTGAAAGTGTTTAAAATATCTGTATATGTTGTCTGTGTTATAATAAACACCTAAAAAAGGAGGCGCTTTTTGTATTTTTTTTTTTATGAACTCATGAAAATCCAATAAATATAATTATAAAAATAAAAAAAAAAGGCGACCGGGTGAAATAAGCGTATAGGGGAATTGATCAACTAAATTGGCTGTAGTGTATGAGTGTGTGTGAATGTGTGTATGGGTGTTTCCCAGTACTGGCTTGCTGCTGGAAGGGCATCCGTTGCGTAAAACATATACTAAAATAGTTGGTGGTTCATTCCGCTGTGGCGACCTCTGAAATAGAGACTAATCTAACGAAAAAATGAATGATTAAGTGAATTAATGAGTTCTGAAAGAGGTCAAGTCTCAGCCAGGTGAGAAAAATAACTCAAAAATAACTCGACACATCACTTAACATAGACAGTAACACAACTCGTTACCATTTTAGCGAGTAACTCAATATTGTAATGCATTACTTTCAGAAGCAACTTTCCCTAACACTGCAGCTATTCATAACAAAGTCCCCACTTCTATATTATAGGAAACTGCCTGAAATGATCAGTAATCCCCTACTGTTCTTTTCCAGTGGGTCAGTGATTTAATTACAGCTCCTCTGTTACACAACACTGAACACACACACGCATGTAAAAGGTAAACCCTCCAGAGCAGATTAGCACCCTCAAGCTTGTCCAAACAAATCAATGACTGAGTTGCACACGCAGACACGTCTATAGCTTTAGTGCACTTAATAGTGTGATGATCTCCACTGACAAGCGGACGATAAATGACAATTATCCAGCGGGGAATTAGAGAGAATCAATGCTGGCTCGATGCTGAGCTACTGAACGCAGAGCTGGATAATCAATGATGATCACATTATACACTGATAAATAACCCAGAATCACTCCACACTGCTGTCAGAACACCACCAGAAACACACGTCTCACATGGGGGTGTGCTTTATGTGTACAGCTGAAGTCAGATTTATTCGCCCTCCTGTATGTTTTGTCCCCAATTTATTAAGATAAGATTTATTTAGCACATTTCTAATCATAATAGCTTTAATAACTCATCTCTAAAAACTCATTTATTTACTCTTTACCATGATGACAGCACATATTATTAGACTAGTTATTCTTCAAGACATGTAAAGGCTTCACTAGGGTAATTAGGGTAAAGTTAGGGTAATTAGGCAAGTCATTGTATAACAGTGGTTTGTTCTGGAGACAATCCAACACTAATATTGCTGAAGGGGTGAATAATATTGACCTTAAAATGGCTTTAAAACTATTAAAAACTGCTTTTATTCTAACCAAAATAAAACTAATAAGACTTTCTCCAGAAGAACAAATAATAGAGGAAACACTGTGAACATTTCCTGAATCTGTTCAACATCATTGGGAATTATTGCACAGGAAGGCGAAGAATTTTGCCATCAATTGTACATAAAAAAACCTTAGATAAATACATACACAGACAAGAAAAGTCAAATATAGTCAAATAAAATAATGATAAAAATAAAAAACAAACTTAATGAAGAAAAATAAAGAAATGAATTAAACAAAAGAGACTAACAAACACTGTATTTTTCATTTTAGAGTTTAGACGTTTCTTTTACACTGCTAGCATATTTTTAACAGTTAAATTCCGGCAACCTCAGCTGTCGTTTTTATCGT